GCTGCTGTTGCTGTTGTTGTTGTTGCTTTTGTTGCCATGGCTGTGGGCCGAGCAAAAGGACGACTGGCGCTGCAGCTGAGATAACCGCGTTACCCGACCAACCGCCAACCGCTGCTGTACAGCTTGCTCGTACAGGCGATATTCGTACATGCGCTGCTCCAACAGGTGTTGTTCGTACAGGTGCTGCTCGTACGCAAACGGCGATGGTCGACGAGCATCATAATGTGGTTGGTGGCAACGGTAGTAAGAATTGTACGGCAGTAGCTGCTCGTCGTACGGTTGTCCGTCCACTGCTGCGGCCGCGACCGCTGCTGCGGCTCGTGCCGCGCCGCCCGCTGCCCCTCGGCAGCCGTCAAACACCGCCATACAACGCCGCGGCTGGGGCCCTGGTGGTACCACACACTCCCCAACTGCGGGTGCGGTTTCGGAGCCGAGCTGGAGTCCTCCCCCCTGCGGCGGGTTCAGTTGTGCATCAACAGATTCCTTGTGGCGGTGGAATGGCTCAGCGGCACCTTCGGGAGGGGGCTAGCCATCACAAAGTACGACAGGATGTACGACTGCGATGCTGCAGGGGCGGTTCTGGTGATGGATGCATTCATACACACATACATACATACATACATACATACATACATACATACATACATACATACATACATACATACATACATACATACATACATACATACATACATACATACATACATACATACATACATACATACATACATACATACATACATACATACATACATACATCGGTTACCTCGCCCACCAGCTGTGCCGCTGTCCCCTACCTGTTCCTGCTGCTGTTGCTGTCGTACCATCTCCCGTACAAGCGCCAGCTCCTTGGCCACCTCCGCCGCCGCCGGTCTCCTGCGCGGGTCCTGATCCCAGCAGCGCTGCACGAGGCGCAGCAGCTTGGGGACGCGGCGGCCGGGCGGTGTGGCGGACAGGGGGGGCCGCTCCTGGCCGTAGGTGACCTTGAGGGCAAGGCGCATGAAGTTGAGGCCCTGGGGGGGGGAAGAGGGGGGGGGATATGTGTCCCGGTGTATTTGGGGGCGGGGCGGGGATGAGGTGCGCGGGGGGAGGCAGACAGACAGACAGACAGTAGCGGGTCAATACCTCCAAGTGCCGTAAAGTGCCGTACGAATCCAAATCAACGGTGCAACTGCCCGTAGGGCGGGTGCGGGTGCTGGGGAGTAGGCGGCGGCGTAAGGATGAGGGTCCTGTACGGCAGGTGTGCTGCTACGGAAAGAGACCCCTAGGGCTTGACCGGTTGGCGTTACGGCATTTGCACGCGGTACGGCGACCAGGCATGGTGTGTTTTGCCCGGTGAACCCCCACGTCCTCCCGCCACTCTCCGATGGGCGAAGGTACGACGATGCGGCTTACCTCCCAAGGCTGTACACCCGTCAGCATCACCCAAAGCAGTACACCTGCCAGAAAGGTACGGGGGAAAAGACACTTCAAAAGCAAAAAATTGTACATTCGTACGGCATTGTTATGGAAGCCGAGGGATGCCGGGGCCCGTGGACCACGTAACTGTGGCGAGGTGCGTATTGGGGGGTAATAACGTGTATTTGGGGGAGGGCGGTCAGGGGCCGCGAATGAGCGCATGAAGGTAGCCTCCTATGCTTTCCGTACGTTCGTACAGTCGTACGTACGTCGACCTCTGTATCCTTTACAGCGCGAAACCCATGTTTGAAACCCATGCTGCTAAACTCCCCACATCAAGCGCGTAATGGATTCGGGGCTACTCTGGTTGCTCTGGATTGCCGTACGGGGGTCGTGTTTCGCCCGTCGGCACCCCCACCACGCACAATCCCTCCTGCATAACCCCCTTTGCGCTCTCTGCACACTTATCCCCAACAAGACTTAACAACCCCCCAACCACTAACCGCTAACCGCCAACCGCCGATCAGTAAAAAGTCAAACTTACCTAACGCGTAGATGTCCACTCGGCACGTGATGGCCGACACGGTGACGTCAAAGCACTCTGGTGGTGGCGGGGGGGAAACCCGGGAGGGGGTGGGTCCAGGGGACACAATACACAACACAAAACACACAACCACCTGAGCTATTTACATAGCACTCCGGAGCATTCTCCCTTTTACCTCCTCACCCTCATCCTCCTCCTAGGCTATGGTGGGGAGCTCTTGACCAGGGAGCTCTTCACCAGGGTACCCAAAAATTTCGGTCGTGTCCGAAACCCTCTGAATAACCTTTCGGGGCCCTCCCCGAAAATTTTCCTGTCAACCTGACAATGTTTTCGGGTACCCCGAAACTGTCTGAAGCGGTTTTCGGGGTAGAGCTTAGCTGTGGATTCTATCGTTATATGCTAGGACGGCTGAATTAACAGGTGTTTGACTTTATTTTGGAACATAGCGCCTGGGAGAAATATTTCAGCAAGGATTTTACCCAAAGCAAGGCTATCTTAGACTTCATAACTGAAAACTCTTTCTGCAAAACGTCAAGTTCGCTGACATCGAAGAGGGCGTTCGAGCTTGCCGAAGCCGCGAATCCCGAGGGAGATGCGGGGCACCTTGGTTGGGCGCTCATCATCAGTTGACTCGGGCATGTTTAACTATGCATATGCTTAGATGTATGAAAATGTCTGCGATACAGCTGCGAAACAGCCGCAATGCACATTTCTACTTGTTGTTTGACTGATGACCAAGCGGGCCTTATACGGCAAGCCCGGTTTCCAGGCCCCGTCTGCGCCCGAAAACATGCAAATTTACGCTGACATATCGTTCGGTTTTCTCCGAAAATGCCTTCAAAAGGCTTCGGTGGGGTCCCCGAAAAAATGCTCTAAGAGGCCCAAAATCCGTTCGGGATGCTCCGGGGCGCACTAATTTTCCTTTCGGGCAAAACGGAAATATCTCAAAAAAGTTCGGGCCCGAATCGGGGTGAAGAACCCTGAGTGTGAGGGAGCAAGAGAGAGAGTCTTGACCCAATAGAAAACCCACTGCCGTACCCACTGCCGTACCCACTGCCGTACCGTACCCATCCGTCCTCCACTTCCGCGCTCGAAACCCCCCTCCCTAACGCCCCCCAACGCATCCCCCACACCGCCCCAAACCCCCCCCGACCCACCGGGGGCCATGTACGCAGGCTGACCGCCAAAAAAGGGAGAGAGCAGGAGGGGTGGGTTGCATACAGGGTGGGGGGAAAGGGAGGAGTTAGTACGACACGAGTAGAGCCGGGGTATATCCTGGATGTGTGTGTGTGGGGGGAGGGGTCTCAGAGTTGTGTGACGTACGTGGGATATAGTTAGTTAGGCAGTTGGGCAGTTAGGTAGTTAGATGCTGAAGTAGTTAGGTAGGTAGGTAGGCAGTTAGGCATTTGAATAGGTTGATGCAAGCGTTAATACGGAACCCCGAAATCCTGGAACACTGTAACTATGCAACCCCCGTCTCTTCCCCCAACCCCAATACACCCCCAACCCCAATACACCTACACCCCTACCCCTACCCCTACACGCACCGTGCCCGCCTCCGGGTGCCGCGTACGGAGCTCCGAACAGCTCAGACGCGCCAGACCGAAGTCCTACGGAAAGGGGGGAGGGGGAGGGGGGTTGGGAGGTTAGAGCGAGCAGACGCACATACACAAGAAAACACACAGTAGTGCCGCGGAGGGTTTGGTTGCCGTTGTGGGCTACCGAATCCTCTGTACGGTGTCGTAACAGCATCCCAAACCCCTTCCCCCCTTCCCCCCTCCTCCCCTCAACCTCTCCCCCCTTTCCCCCCTCCTCCCCTCAACCCCCCTCACCGACAGTTTGGCGACCTGGTTCGGGCCCAGAGGGTCGTTGACCAGCACGTTGGCGGGCTGCCGTGTGCGTGTGTGTGTGCACGTACGTATGTAGGTTTGCATGCATGTATGTCGGGTGGGAAGTGAGTCATGAGGAGGGAAAGAAAAGGGCGGGTTCGAGGGCGTGCGGGAGGGAGGAGCGATCGGAGTACCCTTTTTTCCTTCTTTTATTTCCATTTCTCTCGTTGCAATTTAAATGACGTCATTTCTTTAACGAAATGAAATGAATATGAAGTGAAATGAACAAAAAAAAGCTGAGGAAGAGGGTAAGAGGGAACTTGGACAGCAGGGGTCATGGAGGGGGGTTTAGGAGGACGACGTGGATTGGTGTGCGGACGTACGTGTACCACCACGCCGTGTTTTCCCCCCTTCCGACCCCATCCCTCCGAAACCTCCCCCCACTGCCGTACCTTGAGGTCCCGGTGCACTATGGTGGGATGTAGGTATTCCAGGCCGCGGGCAATGTCCACTGCAATATCCAATACCTGCGTGTTTGTACGTATGTATGTGTGTATGTTAAAATGTGCGATAAGCATGACGCCGATGCACAACACTGACGACCTTCCTTTTCCCCTTCCTCCCTTGTCGCTTCCTCTTTCCTTACACACACCAAGTACGGCAGTCATCAGTTGTTTGTTTGACTTTTACATCACCACGATTTCCATCCAAGTTGATATATATAATCCTCCCCCTCCCCCTCCCCCTCCCCCCTCACCGCGCTCATGGGCAGCAACCGGCCCGGCGCCTCCCGAATCATACACTCCAGGGAGGTGTCCATCAGCTCCATAACCAAACACAGACGCGGCGGGGGACAGCAACACGCCGCCAGCAGCCGTACCACATTACGGTGGTCGCACCTCGCCAGCACCTCCACCTCGTGTGTGAAGCTGCGCAGGAGGCGGTGGTCGCCGCCGCCCCCCGGGGGGGGTCCCGGGACCATACCCGCACCCGTCAGCAGCTTCACAGCCACCAGGCCCCCCCGGTATCGCCCCTCCACCACCCGCCCGAAGGAGCCCTTGCCGCGGAGGACGGGAAGCAGGACGAGCTCCTCTTCGCGGGCAGTCGTGGAGGCCGAGGGGGAGGCCGAGGGGGAGGTCGAGGGGGCATTGTGGAGGTGCCGTACTGCAGCGCCGTCGGCGAGAGGGGTCTCTGTCTGACCCTGTTCCGAGTCCCGCACCTCACCCCCGACCCGGGGGGATTGGGGTTCTAGTTGTTTGGTGTGGGAGTGGGGGTTGGGGGGGTTGGGGGGGTTGGGGGGGCTGGGGGTGTTCGTGTCGCCCGGCTTCAGTTGCTGGTGTTGTTGGTCTTGTTCTTGTGATGGGGTTTGTTGAGGCCTGACAAAACGGAGCTTGAGGTTGATGTCGGGGCGGTGGGGGGTGCGGGGCGTCACCACCACCCCCGCCGCGACTGACGAAGGAGCCCCGCGGGGGGGAGACGGCGACTGCGCAGCCGCAGCGGACTCCGCATCGCCGTCCGCACCTCCTCCTGGGATTTAGCCGCAGCAGCCGCAGCAGCAGCAATAGCAGAGGAAAAACATCGACACATTGACTTTGGTGATCAGATTTTCCATGTACGGATGTACGGATGTACGGATCCATGATGATACGTGCGGGGATAAGGCTGAGCAATAGCATTCATTGAAAGTACGAAACATGCAAAATTTACTACATTTTGTAAACAAAGCTCGATTCCTGCTCACAACCATCCGTACCTCCCCCCCCCCCACACACACACATACATACATATATACACACACGCCGAAACACCCCCACCACTGGTGCACCTGCTTCCCGAGGCCGCCGCCGCTCGCCGTCGGAGGTTGAGGGCACCGGCACATTGCCCGGCAGATTGCGGATGCCATCCGCCGTATTTACCGCCGCAGCAGTCCCTCCCCAGCCGCATCCCCCCCTCCCTCCCCCGCCCTTGCCACCATCTCCATCACCGCCGCCGCCGCCGCCGCCGCCGCCGCCGCCCGCGGCCTCACTCGAGGGATGACGAATCCCCGCAGGCGCGCTACAGCGTCCATACCCGCCAACCACCCCTACTGCTGCTACTGCTACGGCTGCTACAGCTATTACCCCGGGCCCCCCCGCTGCTCCTGCACTGCCAGCAGCTACAATTCCCGCGGCTGTAGCACTGTCAGCGGCTGCAGCCTCGGGGGATGCCGCATCAGACGGCTCCACCACTTCGCTGGTCGAGCGCCGATGTCGGGGGAAGGATTCGAACCTGGATGGTCTGGATAAGACCGAGGCTCCGCAGTCGCTGCCAAGAACTGACAGCATCGCCTTCAACGTTGATTTACTTTTTTGCGAAGTGGCCTTGGCGGCAGCGTCATTGCTGTCACCCCCGTCCCCCTCATTGTGGGAGGAGGCCGAGCACGGGGCGGAGTTGGGCGTCGAGGAAGGCACCCTGGGGGGTTCAGGGAATGGGTTAGCGGCTTAGCTAGTTGGTGGTTAGTTGGTTAGTGGTTACCTAGGGTTGGTTGGTTGGTTGAATTCTACCTGGCAGATCCGTGGGTTGGGGTTCGTCCCTTGTGCAGCGAAAATTTGTTCTTAGCTGTGCTTGTTTGGATAATGTTAAAATGATTTGTGACATTATATGGCAAAATCATGCATCATAATGCATACTGCCGTACTGCCGTACTGCCGTACCGCTGTACCTACTTCAATTTAGCTTCGGTAGTATCGCCCCCGGCAGCGGCAGTCGTCGCTGTGTTGACCCAGCACGGGTTGCCCGGAGGCGCCCTCATGAGATGTCGTACACGGCACCACCACCACGGGGCGTTGAAGGAGGAGGAGGAGGGGTTTTGTGGGGGGACGGAGGAGGGGAGTGGGGTGTTGGGGGCTGCAGCTGGCGGCCTTCCTCGTCGCCGCAGCAGCAGCACCACCGCCGCCACCGCCGCCAATGCCGCCGCCACCAAACCTGCAGGTGGGGTCAGGTACACGCATGCGCGTTTTTTTTTGTGTGTGTGTCTGTCTATCTGTCTGTTTGTCTGTATGATGTATGTATGTATGTGTGTATGTATGTGGCAGGGGGATGGGTTCAACGGCTAGACACGTTCAGCTGAGGACAGAAGCTTCAGCTGAGTCATTGCCGACGGCGGCCCTGCAGGCCCCTTTATATACACCTGGACATACCTACCTAACTACCTAACTACGTACATATATACAGATAAGCGCGGTACCTTGCACTTCGGATGGTGCGTGTGCGTGTATGTATGTGTATGTCCCCAGCAGACCCCCCCACGCCACTCCGTCAGCCCGCAGGTCTCCCTGCTCTCTGCTCCACCCTTCCGCTCCCCTCCACACCCGGCCACTCGTACAGTGTACGCTTATCTGCCCTTTCTTTAACACGCTGCCACCCTGCTCTCCCCTCCCCTTCGCCCCTACGCCACATACACACACACACGCACGCACATGCACATACACATACACATACACACACGTACACACATACACACACGCGTGCCCTCCCCTGAAACCCACCTCCCGCGAGGCCGCCCTTCGCCGCCGGGCTCAGCCGCCTTCCCTCGCGGCCCCCTGAAACACCTGCCGTACCAGCATCCGCCACGTCATCAGTATGCATGACGATATCCCTGGGAGCTCCTCGGTACGGCAGTGGCGGGTGCCCTCCGCCCTGTGCCAACGTCAGCGGTGTCCAGGGGGGGTCGAGTGTGCCGTACGTCCTCGTGGCGCAACCCAATGCCGTCAGGTTCTCCACACACGCCTCCGTGAGCAACACATCACAGAGGTAAACGACCTGGGGGCCGGGGGGTGGGGGAAGACGAACCACGAACGAGTGAACGGGTTGGGGGGCGAGGAAGACTTCAAGGTTTCATGAAACTCACAATGAGGGTGCGAGGGGGGGGGAAGAGAGGGGGGGAAAGAGGAACCACAAACGAGTGAAGCTGCTGCCAGGGCAAGAGTGTACCAGACGTAGAACTGGCCGAAAGGCGTCCGTGAAGACCGCGACCTCGGGATGACGAAGTGAAGATGATGTCGGAAAGACTACCTACCTAAGCCGCCAGGACTAAAAAAGCAGAGAAAGCAGTAATGCAAAGCCGTAAAGAAGTGCGAGTAGGGGAAGGGGGTTTCCCCCTTTCCCCCCCTTCCCCCCCACAGCCAACTGACGACAAGAATACGACAACGTAAGCAGCACCTTCTTCCCGGCTTCCTTCATCCGCACGCTAGGGATCGATACTGGTCGATGAGCCCGAGAGCTAGAGAGCTGAGCAGCAAGGGGGGGTGTCATGATTCCGCAGGGACCAGGTGGAAAGTGATGAGGGGCCTTATGGGGGCCGAAATACACACATGTCGGCAAGAGGGATGGTACGGCAGGGTTCATTTACTTCACGGGGGGCCAGGAGGGGCAGTTGCGCGCGCGGATTTGAGGCAACGAAGGTAATGACGATGATGATGTCTCGGACAAGTTATTCAGCCCTGGTATCTGACATTAGCGTTTACACATACACACATTCACACATACACACATACAGACATTCACACATACACATACAGGTGCGTGCTGTGATTCCCCTCCTCCGTTCCCCCCTCGCCCCCTTCCTGCCCCCCTGCCCCTGTGTGCAACAGGGCACCCCCCGGGCTGAAGAGCTGAAGAGCCACATGCTAACAGAAACCGATGGGCACTAATGCCCATTCCGTACTGCCGTACACGCCGTACGCACTTGCAGCATGTGTATGATGTAGCCCGTCAGTTTGACGCCATTGTAGCCATTGGGATCTGCGCCCGGCATGGCAACATCGTTGTACAGGCCGCGATGCGGCCAGCATCGCTGCCGGGGGTGTACGGCAGGGTCGTTGACGCAACCGTCCTGAGACAGCGTTACTTGGTACGACTGGACTCCGGGGACGGAGGGGGGTCGCCTGATTGCCCTCAGGGACTAAAGGAAGGGGGAGGGGTGGGCGGGTGGGCGGGTGGGGAGGACACTGACGTGTGTGTGTTTGTGTGTTTGTGTGTTTGTGTGTTTGCGCGTGTATATGGGTGTGTTAATGATCTGAACCGAGATGCGGGAAATGCCGCTTATGGTGGTACACGAATAACTTTACCCAGGAGAGCTCCGTAGTCCACAAGTGTGTACGTATGTATGTGTGTAAGTATGCATGTACGAATTAGTTAACTAACTGGGCTACGTTAGGAACTGGTAAGCAAGCACGAGAGCAACCGAACCGAAGAAAGTGTGAAGGATCATCATGACGTGTCGCGCGCAATTTACGGTACGGCATCGTACGGACGCACCTCCGCTTGTGTGTTGGGGGGGTAGCAGACACCTTCTCGAGGTTAGGGGCCCCCGGGTTGTTGTT